AAACCTTAATTAAATTTTTAATCTTTGAAGTTGGTATTGAATTATGGAAATTGTTGTGTGGAAATTAGGGGAATTTATATCACTGGCAGCAGTTTGATCGGTGCAGCAATCAAGGCCCCTCGTATCACTTCTAAGAATCTCATTAGGTAATGATTTCTATGAAATTTAACACAATTTCTCCATTACATGTTTGTTTAACCTCTGCTTTTCGATTCACAAACTTATAAAGTAAAATGCAAATCCCAGAAATTGAGATAATTACGATGATCTGAAGTGATATCCCAGTAATTGGATTTGATAGAGGATGTCTAGTCTTAATTGAGAAATGGTTCTAATTGTTTTTGGCAATCACTTATATAACTAGCTTGGTTAATTGATTGGTGGATGGAGAATTGTGCTATCTATTCAAAACACCCCTCAATACTGTTTCTTCATACCAATGTGGGAAGTTTTGTTATCTTCTTTCACTTCAAGCTCACTGCCATTTTTGTTAGAAGTCTTCTTTATAGTGAATGATGTACGTTGAATTTTTGACTTAAACATAGCACTGATTATATATTCGTAAGTCTGACGTTAAGGACTAACTTCGATGGGATACATCTGTTGTATCAGTGTAATCTTTTGTGAAGCTGTTGCTATATATGGTGTTATTGTTGCGATTATTCTACAAACGAAGTTGGAGAATGTTCCAGCATCAAAGATATATGCGCCTGAGTCTCTTAGAGCTGGATATGCCATCTTCGCCTCTGGGATTATCGTGGGCTTTGCAAACCTTGTCTGCGGGTTGATATCTTTAGCCTCCTTTCTCACATTTGTGGTTTTTCTTTATGGAGTCAAAAAAATTATGTGGTTCTTGCAATATGATGATTTTGATATGGATTTTGTTTCTGTGGCAGTTTATGTGTGGGCATCATAGGAAGCAGCTGTGCATTGTCTGATGCCCAAAACTCTTCACTTTTTGTGAAGATCCTTGTGATTGAGATCTTTGGCAGCGCACTTGGATTGTTTGGAGTGATTGTGGGAATCATAATGTCAGCTCAAGCAACATGGCCTTCGAAATGATAATTTGTTGCTCAGTAGAACTTGGCAACACATTATGACCGTGTTATGTGCGCAAATGATTTTCTGTATTTTGTTCTTTTCATCATTAGTGATAGGAACGTTCAAACTGCTGTGGAAATATTATTTGCCCGCTTGTATCAATCTTAGGCTGTATTTAATCTGATGGGAATGAGTTTGTGGGAGAGCTGGTTGTTCAATATTGTATAAGGATGAGTTAAGCATTGCCTCATTCATGGCGGTAGACAATATTATCTTAGTTTTGAATGAATAACGTAATGATTTTTTGTGAAGACCACCTCCCTGAAAGAAGCTGATTTGTTCATGTATCCAATTTTTTTCCCCATTTTTATGTGCATCAAACTATGTCAGTTTTCTATAGTTTCTATTTGAATTTTCATCATTGTAGCCATATAACCCTTTTTTTCTTCCATAAATAGTTTGAACACAAAACTCAAACAGAGATCATGCTTTATTGGCTGCATTGCATCAAAATAAATACAAAAAGGAGTGGTATTCTTCTGTTAAAATCTCAGCAACCGAATTGGAAGGACAATTTGTCTGGTCGATTTCCGGGAGCATAACATTTAAATCAAAGTAGTATGGCAGGAACATCACTGAAAAAGGGCATGAGTCTCTGTTGAAGCTCTTGGCATTCCTCTGAATTAGCAGTCTTGGGGTCGAAAGACGGTCGATCAGGAAGAACCAGGCCTTGTTTAATCCGACCCATTCGCCTTGCGTGCAAGACTTGTTTGGATACAACTGGTAGCCGAATCGACTGATATTCTTCAAGAGCTGATTGCAAATTTTCTGCTCCCCACTTCTTCAGGCATTGGCCTAGCACTGCAGCATCTAATACCGACATGTTCGTGCTTCTTACGGCATGAGGAGTTGTGGGATGAGCCGCATCTCCAACTAGTACCACATTATCCCAGTAGATTTGTTCTAAGGGTTCACTGTCATATATGGCATTGATGAAAGGGTCCCTAGTTTCTTTGACCACTCTCACAAACTCTGGAAGCCACACCTTCTCTGCTTCTTTGTGCATATTCTGGATCACGTAACTGCCTGCTTTCGTGGTCATCGAGTTACACTTCAGATCAGGTTCTGGCTGGTGGACATACCAAATCCAATTGAGCCTCTGGTTCAGAAGCTCATATTGCACAGTGTGACTTTCAGAACCTAAGCCAAAGTACAAGCATTTCCCAAGTTCAGGGTATGCCTTCCGGATGCCGATTATAGTTTCTGAATTCTCATTTCCTGAAAAATCAAGAACGCCTCTCCATGCACAATAACCTGAATACCTACAAAACCATCTACAATCAATACCATAACATACCACAAACTGAAAATATACACTTTTTCATGAAAAGGGTTGACATTTCACGAACCTCAGTTTATGGTCAGGGACAAAACTTTGGCGGATAGAGGAGAGGCACCCATCTGCTGCAACAAGCAAATCGCCTACGATTTCGATGATCTCATTCGTTTGATGAGATGTGGCCTTCACTTTAACTGAACCCTTGTCACTAGAAACAGTGAAAGATAGGAAATGGTGACCCCAGAGAAACAAGTTTGGTGGTAGAGCATTGTACAGAAGGGCATGTAGGTCAGCCCAATGTGCTGCTCTACAGTTGAAGTCCTCATCTCTAGTTAATGTCCATTTTACCTTTTTCTCACCATCTATTGCATCATTCTACATAGCCAAAAAGAAAAAAATTCTGAACTAGGAAACTTGTAAAATTGCAATATAACAAGATTGAATTGGGAATTAATTGAGGTTTGTACCTGATCAATTGTGAGGGGTAGAGTGGCCTTGTTGAGAAGCTCAGGCTCTTTGATCCATGACTGAATGAGTTTTAGAGCCAGAGGGTCAAGGCCAAGTCCTGCCCCAGTTGGGCTTCCAGTTGGGGCTGCAAATGATTTCTCTACCACCACAACATCCCACCCAGCTAATATGAGCGTGTGTGCGCATGATACCCCTGCTATGCTCCCTCCCACTATCACTGCCTTGGGCTTTTTCTTCTGATCAGTCATCTCTCTCCTCTCTCTCCTCTCTCGAGAGAGAGGCCACAGTGTTCTCTCTCTATCTGTTTTTTTTTGGGTGAATTGAAGAAGGTTGGAAGTGTCTCTCTCTCCATCTAGAGGAGAGTTCTTTTCTTCTTCTTTTTTAATCTCTTGTTTTTGGTGAATTGAAGAAAGTTAGTTGTGACTAAGAGACAGTAGGAATACTACAAGAAAATCATATGGCCTCACATGATAAGATGGTTTTCTAGAGGCAAGATATTTGTGGAGTTATGTTTGTGGTCCTTACTAGGAAAAAATAAATAATATTGAACATGAAATATATTGATGAAGAAAATGTAACAGATAATGCAGAATAATGATATGAAGTTTGTGGAAATTTTACGTGTAAAAATGATAATATATTTTGATATTGTAGTACATAATTTTCACCTTATTGAAAGAAGTCGAAAGTATAAATCTAACTAACGACAATTGTTCCCTTTTTTTTTTTTTTTTTTGGGTCAAAGTTAGGTAGGGGAAGATGGTTTTTTCACACACATTACCAAAATGTTATAGAATTTCAAATCTGAGATCACTCGTCTGCAAATCAAAACATTTTTTCACTAGGCTAGACCTATTGGCCAATTGTAGTTTAATATATAAAATATATATATATATTTTAAATGAAAAAAAGTTAGGAGGAGATTGACTACCCTCACTACCAGCGCAAGGACTAGCCACAACATCGAGCCAAAAGAACTTACGTGTGGCACCCAATTAAATATATATATATAATTTTTTTTTTAAAGTTAGTAAGAAAAAGAAAAAACCAAAAATAAAAACCGCATACATTTAGAGATATGTTAATGGGCTTGAATCTCATTCTTTCACCAGTTAGGCCCTGGCCAGGTCCCCCCGGACCACTACATAAACCCAAAGATACGCTGTCCGTATAAAATTACAAATCCACCCCCTCCCCTCTCTCCCCTTCTCTCTCTGCGCAAAACCCTCTCTGTGCTTTTCTTCTCTGTAAGTGAAAGTATCTGTGGAGAAATGGGGGCTGGGCGTGAGGTCCAAAGCTCACTGGACGGGCTGAGGGACAAGAACGTGATGCAGCTGAAGAAGCTCAACACTGCTCTCTTCCCAGTTCGCTACAACGACAAGTACTACGCCGATGCCCTCGCTTCTGGCGATTTCACCAAACTAGGTTGAGCTACGCTTCTGGGTCTTGCTTATTTTTTCATAATTTTTTCCGGGTTTCGCTTATTTCGTGTTACCAATGTAGCTTTTTGACGCAAAATGCCTTGAAATCTCTCATAGTTCTCGTTTATTTGTAAAGCTTTGATTGGCTTCTGTCACTTGAGCTTGTAACTATGCTCCAATTACTGTGTGTTTGTGTATTTCGTGGCTTTTTTCCATCGTGCGTAGTCTGTAATCTTTGTTGTTTGATTTGCTTCTGCTTATTTAAAAATTATGGCGTGTGTTAGAAAATATTGGCTTTTAGCTCATTGCATATGAAAATGCTACACTTTTGAAGAATGTTGATGACACAAATGCACTATTTTACTTATAACACACTCGGTGCACTGGGGGGCCTTCAAGTAAATGGGGAAAGGATAGTTATTGTTTTATCAGGGATTTGGGATAGTTTAGATATGTGTAGTAATGCTTGGTTCGATATATTTGTGAGTCAAGAGTCTACTTGTTTCTCCTTGTTGATGTTCTCAAAAAACCGTGAGGAACTACATATGTGCAGCATAAGATGAGGTAGTCGAGTGATTAACTGTCCCACAAATTCTTAATCAGAAAGGTTACTCAATAAAAGAAAAAGAAGATTTGAAAGTTAAAATGTCTTCATTGATGAGTTTTGTTTGTTTTCGTAATATATTACCCCAATAAATTTTTGTAGTGTTGGTTTTTTTAATACGCCTGCTTGATTTTAGGAAGGACTGCTGTTGTATGTCCTCTTATTATTAGACTTGCAAAGAAGGTCATTACCTTTTCTACACTTGTCAGAACTCATGAATGAAGAAGTGGGTGGGACAGTGGCTTGAGCATTTTCAAAGGTATCCCGTTATGAACTATATGTGCACAATGTGTATGTGTAAGGACCAATTGTGGGACTATCATTTAACATGCTTATTGACTGAGCTGTCCAAGTCAATTTCTTATAGTTTCTTGATGAAGGTGCATGTATGGTCTAGGAGATTAGATTGATTGATATACCTGGTACATGTAAAGAAAATTACAAACCTATTGTGTTTAGGTATGTCCTGAATTTATCATTCTGGGGATTTGCCATCCTTAGCTCTCTTGTGGATGCCAAATTGATAAAAATTATGGATGTTGAAATTTTAATTCCTGCT